TCAATAAAGGTGGCGGGATAGCTCGGACCAAATAGAGTCCCGACAAGCTATCTTCCATCTTCCTATCTCTCAGGAGGTGAATCTGTTTATCATCATGATACACACGAAATTAGATCTGTCCTCTGCAAACACTTCGATTCATTTTGCAGATTTTCTGCCGGTCATCCGCATATATAATCTCGATTAAGATTTAAAAAAAGTTCTTCTTTCCTTCTTCGATTCACGTAACATTACCACGATAAGGTAACCTGAGGAATCGGATCAATATAAATTTTGAGACAGTTTAAATTCGATTTTACTAACGTAAGATTAACTTTAACGTCGGTTTAACTTACCGTTCATCATTTCTTAATTCTTAGAATTAGAAAAAAAACATCTTACATTGGAGCCACACGTTAATCAATAATCGTTATTAATTTCGTGTTTCAAATTTATTTTGTGTTTCAAATAGGCGTTTTATCATGCTATTTTCGTGCGTTTCCTCTGCACCGGAAATAATAAATAACAATTCTACTATGTGTAATCCTGTGCCAGTCAACGATACAAGCGCAGAGATCACGAAAAAATTTTGCTTGTCACGTAAAATCACGATCCCAATAATATCACAAATTTTATTTACGATAATGTAACAAAAAAATATATTAAAACTTTTGCAAATTATAATAATTTTTACAGTATATAGTTTGCTAAATCAGTTTAATAAATTGGTGATCCGCTTCGCCGCAATTCATATTGGATAAATTTATCTTTTTTTATTTTTTGTTGTGCAATAAGAAATACCATGTTTATATATTAGGCCGGGGAAAAAGTTTCTTCATATTTAGAAAAATGTTTTTGCAAAAGTTTTTCATTTGTTGCGAAATTTTCGTTATAATTATATTATACGCTAGAGCAAAGTTTCAGCTTTAAGAATCTGTTTTTCAAATTGCGATATGATTTTAATCTTTATCGGAGTTAGCAATCGAAGTCAGAATGCTCATAGTCGAAAATTTTCATAAATTTTTTGAAGCACCCTCAAAGTGAAAAGAAAATTTTTCATCTTTTTCAGCTCGTAATTTTTTAAATGTAAAAATTACCAAACTCACAGAATATATAACCTTTTAAAAGTAAAGATTTCGAACTTTAAAACTATTTTTTTTTTTATTTAAATTTTATTCATTTTTTACGAAGATATTGATATATACAATTTTATTAAAAAATAATATATAATAATATAATCAAATTAAAAAATAGAAGAAACTTTTTCCCAACCCAATATTATTTTTATTATATAATCAAGTTGTAAAAATTAAGAATTTATAGTAAAACTTAATAACAAAACTTTTTTTTTATCAATAAACAGAATTGGTTCGATTCATTTTGATTTATCTACTTTAGTCTAACGTTTGACTTCATCCTTTGAGGCTGTTTCGCAAATTAATAAAATATTAAATAATCATTCATATCTGTATCAAAGTATTTAGCAGTCTTTCATTTTCTCGTATCTCTATGAAGCTATTTAAATATAACAGTAATTCTGTCCAGTCTTTCCTTCTCGGAAAAAAAGAGAGACAAATATGCGAAATTATTTCTCAACATATTTTCTTTCTCTCCTACAATGCAAAAATTTCCCTTGCTCCGTTATTATCTATACTACAAAAGCTCGCAGCAGCAGCGTAAAGTAATTTACGAAATTGTAGTCCGTGCTGTTCCTCCACGGAGACATTAATGCAGAATCCTCCTACTTCCCTACCACGCGTTTCTCTATTCTTTTTCGCGAACATTTTATTCTCAAGGCCAATCATCCCGTCTCTAACGTAGGTATCGCAGTACAAAATACGACGTGGAAGAAAAAGCAAAAGAGGAGTATCGAAATCTTGTAACCATGACAGTGTTTTATAGCTACAAGACAGAAAATACCCAGCGTATTCTGAACTGGAAAAACTTCGGTGGTCCTCGTCTCCCGTCGTTCGAAAAGGCGACACGCTGAGACAAAGTAACATACAAATGCGAAACGTCGAAGACGCGCGTTCTATCGGAATAAAACCGCGCGTATCCCATGCACCAGGGAAGTGGCACAACCATTGGCGCGACAGTATATCGCGATACGTCGGAAGTCGACGTAAAATACGTCATAAAGTTCCCGGCATGATACATAACAATGACGCAAGGGCCTGACAACTTTCCTTGCGGAGAACTTGCCGAACAATAATTTTCCGGCTGGCTGTCCGAAGGGAAAACTTAGAATGAATTCGCACAGCCGGCACACACATTCGCGATATCAAGCGCTCTAAATGTACCAGAATAGTGCACAATGTTTGGCCTAACCATATTATATTAAAGAATTACTACCCAGCAAATACCAAGTTACACATAACATGTTAATTGTAATTTCCCATTGAACAATACTTATAATTACAATATAACACACGTGTGTTACATTTTTATAACCATAATATAATACACATGTGTTATATTATACACTCTAATAAAAATAGCGATGTCTATATAATTCTCATTGTGTTGGTGTTAATATTAACACCAAAATGAAGTAGATTTAATACCATGAATTTTAAATCCACACTATGTGGTATTGGTATATAAACGCTAGAAGTTTGAAATCCATATAATGTCGGTGTTAATATTAACATCAACACAATGAGAATTATATAGACATCGCATGGGTATTAAATCCACAATAAAGGTATTAAATTCATCGATTTTTTAGAATGTTTATTTATTTGTTGGTTTATTTACTAAGCTTATTTATTATTGATTATTTATGATGATAGACCATCGGGTCAAAAATAGCGATTAAAATAGTCAATAGAAAAGTTGTTGGCATCCGGCTCAGATAAAAGGATTGCGTTATTCTAGTACATCTAAAATTCAAGCAATATTAGCATTCGTGCGCTTCCTCATAGAATGAGGCGAAATAAAAACGTGCCTTTAAGTTTCGGATGCATTCTGCGTATTTCTGCACGTTTAATTAGACCCTTTCCTCCATCCCGTCGTGCAGGACCACAGGGTAAAAGTTCTCCGTTCGGCAGGAACGGTCGATATAAAATTACGAGGTTACAGACCCATCTTCGAAAGTGCCAGTTATTCCGCCAAGGAAAGAAGACCAGCTGTAACCTGGGCGGTCGACGCAGTATCTTCTTTTTTCACTACTTTACGCGAACGAGTAGCAAGTCTGCACGCTATAAAACTTGTATGCGTACGATGGAAGTTTGACGCGTTCACGCTTGGAAGGGAAGAAATTTCATTTCAACCAATACCAAGTAATCTGCGAGAAAATTCACTAATTTGCTTCGCAAAAATTCAATGAATAAATAAAGCGTCACTCTGCCGAAGGATGATATAAATCTCTGAAGTGAGATTGGGACGCATGTGATATCCAAAAATAAGTTACGATAACGTTAAATTAAGAGACATTAAAATGCTGATTGATAGAAAAGTGACTTTTAATAATTTTTTTGGAGCCATTTTGATGTCACTTTGACTTTTTGTTCTTTAGATTCATTACTAAATTTAAATTATTTTTAATTATTCTGAAGTCGCCACTCCTAAATATGTCGTTAATTTAATTAAAATGATGGGATCAAATTTAATTCAAGAAATGTATTAAATGTGACTCAAATTTAATTTATTACTTGTTAAGTGCATACGTTAATGTAAATTGTTTACTTTGTAACTAAGCGATTTAACTTCCAAATATGTAGATTCACAAAAATAGTAGATTCTTTTTAGATGTAGTTGTTTTTAACATGTTTTATATTAAAATAATACGGAAAAAAATGTGCTAAATTTTAAATATTTGTTTAAATAATATTAATTCTTATAACATTTACCCATTGGAAAAATAAATTAATTAAAATTTAAAAAATGATATATCAAATTAATAGAGCTTTTGTCAAATAAATATGTGTTCACAATAAATATTCACTTATATTATTCAAACAAATATTTATTAAAATTTACTACATTTTTTCCTCAGTGTACCATTTGACATACTTATATCCATTTCCACAAAGATAAAGAGTAAGTCGAACCGAGATTAACTTTAATCTCGATTCAACTTACTCTTTATCTTTTTCTAATCTTTAGAACTAAAAAAAGACAAAGAGTAAGTTGAACCGAGATCAAAGTTAATCTACATTGATGGAAACGAACATTAGAAGTTAAAAACAACGAAATTAGAGAAACAACGTTATTAGAGAATTGGTTTAAATTTGATTCTTTAATATTGAATAACAAGGTAGTTACTTTGAGCACACGCGATATTATCATTTCAGCAAACCATGTACATAATCCTTGTGAAATTCGCTGATCTGTTACGCGAGAACGTAATGATAATAAATACAACGTTATTCTGTCGTTCGAAAAATGATAGTATCATAAATATCTAAAGTAAAACTTGTACCCGGCGCTCGAGTAGCGCGTGTTTAAGCACGCGCGGAGCTACTCGGTTCAGTAAACCATGTGTACAATCTTTGTGACATATGTGTGTTGGAGCGCACGTATGTACCCGTCGTACAGAAGTTCAGCAAAGATAGCGGAGAAAGAAGATAGCGCGCGCTTGGCCTAAGATCGCGACACGCGGTGTCGAAGAGAGTAGCGAGCGACACTTGGAAAAGGCATCGGAGATGCACGTCGCGGGTGCATCGCTGCGCGGTGCAACGCGATGCGACGGGGCAGCCTCCGTGTAAAGGGAGAAGATCGCAGAGAGACGCGGAGGCGCCTGCGCCCTCGACTGTGCCGGAGTTCCTGCGTGCATTTCCAGCAGTCGGGTCTTCAACTCCGGACCGCGAGCAACGGCACGATCCGCGCCGTCGTCCGCGTCGCGACGCACCCACCCGACGGAACCACCCCTCCGGTATATGTGGGTCGTGATTGCGCCGACCTATCCCACTGCACACGTCGAAGAAGAGATCGAAGTAGGATCACGTACGAAATTTCGAGGACATTCCGGGATTCTTGCTGGAGCATGCCGGTAGTTTCATCCGCACGCCCGTAAACAGGATCTCGCAATCTCGCAATCTCGCTCTCGTGAAGGGCGAAACTAGTATTGAAAAGCTTCGTAAAAAGTTTCGCGCGGTTTGGCCTGCGAGGGAAATCGCATGGAGGATCTTATATATCGGGGAGCACTTCTGTGACTTTTTATGAGCGGAACAGATGCGCCCTGCACCCGCACGCGGACTTTTATGAGACGTGTACCGTCCTGCGGAACGAACGCCGGAATTTTTATAGAAATGGAAGGGCGGAGAGAAACGTCCGTGGTAAGATCTCGCGGGGAAGCATCGCGTTTATTTAAATCGCACACTCTTCGTCACAGCGTTACATACAAAACGATTTTTATAAAAAATATTCGAATACTTGTAAGTCAATTGCGGTAAAAAAAAAAGTGAGAATAATTTGCCGTTTTAAATAGATGTCAACAATTTTGAATAGTTCAAACGCTGAATAGAAATAATTATTCAGTCACTATTCGTGTTTGACAGAAAAATCTGTCATATTTCGGAGATACAACTTCTCTTCTCGGACGCCCAAATTTCGCAAGCAATTCCAATAACTTGGCGGCGATTCGATACACTGTTGAAAGAAACGTTCGAAATGTCTACCAAGAAACGCAGCTGTCAGGTGCATCCGTCTCGATTCGCGTGTTCATTTTTGCGGAAAAGTCTGCTGCTATCAGCGATGACTGTACATCTTGTCGATCGTTAAATTAACTTGTCACTTTTCCACGTCACGCTAAAATATGGGTCGTTCGCGCGCGTCTTCGAATATTAAACTTACGACATCGATGAAGTTCCCTCGCGTCAATTAACGCCATCGAACGTGCCCTATTGTAAAAAAAAGATGCTCTCAAACGGCGATTGTATTAAAAGTTCAAATCACCACGGTGACCTGCATTCGATACGAGAAACAAAATTTCTCTGTGCGTGAAAAAGTTTTTTCATTATAAGTTCGAATAAACACATGCTTCGATAAACAATGTAGCAGATGCTAGATAAATATATCTGTTGTACAAATAAAATATAGAATTGTTCCAAACTTTTCACGGCACTGTGTATCTGCCAGTTGTATTTTTTTTATATATTAAAATTCTAAACGTTAATAAAAACGATAAATTAAAAACGTTGCTAAAAATTAGCACACACACAATCTAATGTGTGATTAATATAGAGAACGATATCAAGTTAAATTTTCGCACCGATCGTTACCTCTAATTTCAAAACGTGTACCGAGCAAATTATAATCATTTCATATCTCCTTCGTAAAACAAAAGATATACAACGGAAATCCGTCGTTTAACATAACAGAAGGACCTTCTGTCAATGCTTAATTTTTCATCTTTCCCCTACCAAATTTCACAAGAAATGTAAAAGCGAAAACGAGAGTTAAATAAAATCTGTGCAAAATTGTCCTTTAAAAAAGTGGAGTTTTTGAAACAAAATTTATTTACAAAAATATATAAAAATTTTTATATAAATAAATTATTTATAGTGTTTTAAAGGTGCTTATATCAGTAATATTAAATTGCTTACCAATTTAATTTATAAAGTATATACCTATGTCAGCTTCAGGCTAAATTTCAAGATCAATAAATACTCAACGCAATAATTTGCTTGAATTGGAAATTGTAAAAATTGTTAAAATTGATACAAAATATTTCTAGACACCAAGGCCCACCTTAATCAAACATGACTCTCTTCATTCATTTGCAATAAAAATTTTTTTACTGTTAAAATCTGATATGGGTAGGTATTATTGGCGGAATAGTTAAAGAGCACCTAGTACACAATACGACGTATGCCGCAACTGTCGAAAAGACATGATCGCTAATGTCGTTAGCGTTAATTAATCATTGGCATGTAGATAAATACCATGTATCACGGCGCTAACCGGGCGTGAGCGACCGCGCGTCTGCCGATAATTATGAACAAGCTAACTCATTAGTCGCAATCGACGTTAACGGCCTCGTTGTTGCGAACCATCCCCTTCCCTCGATTTATCCGGTCTTCTATAAGCTGTCGAATTATCAACCGCGATGAGAAGATTACGATCGTTCGATGTGACGCACAAAATGAGATTACATGTCAAAAAAGAAATCACGGCTGGAAATGATTACGCGAGAATTATCACCGTGACGTCCGATGTTACGATTACTCGAAATGTTGCGACGGTAATACCCGCGGGAATAACAGTGACGAACGGATTATAGTCATCAATTATAGCTGATGCTATGCACCAGCTTGATCGCCTTTCCGTAATCCGACGCGATGCTAACCAATCTGGTCTCTATTAATTTTGACGAGAGTAAGACATTAATGGAGGAGATAATCATATTATTACTAGAGAGAGACCGAAAATTCTATTCGCTTTACCCGAGACCCGGGACTCTGAGCTGGCATTAATTTCTCTCAATACGTAGCATCATTATTACAAAAGCCTATTAAAAATGTTAATGTGGATATTAATTTTTAATACGTTTTTTTGATTCACTATCGGTTTATTCGTAGCTACGCGACAGGATGGTAAATAAATTTTAAAATGCAGTTCGATCGAGTATATGTAATTTATCAAAGTGACATTAATAGTGCATTTTAAAACTTTTGCGATAATTAAAATTGAACTATCACGTAAATTTCAACTCGTACCTAATTCAATTCGCCGACCTATATATATTCCTCGTCGAAGATTCCTCCAGGCGATAATTCTTCGCAAGTCGAGCTACGAGTTAGAAAAATCTACCTCTTACAGGTCAGCGGAAGTTAGAAAATATCCGGGCCGAGTAGCGATTCATTTCCTAGTGACGTCGAAGCCGTTGTGGCTGTGGCGCCGTGAGATCCGCCCGTCGCGTTTCAAGTGCGCAATTAATCGCGGAACTTAATCGAGTGCCGAATTAATCGTGACGGATTTACGGGCCGCGTTGTGTGACAGTGACATTTGCCACACACGATTATGAAACGCCGTCGCCGATGCAAGTGATTTAGTAACAACGAAGAAGAGAAAGGACTGATTCTCTGAAGGGAAAGAAACAAAGAAAAAAAAGAGAACCGTGAAGTCGTGAGGATATCGGAAGATGAATCGCGTATCAAAAAACATGCCGGAACACTGATCCCCGACCGCGGGAATAAAGAAGGAACCAGGGAAAGGTTTTCGCGCTCGGATAGTACGACGTCTCCGTCTCGCCGGTCTAATTAATCTTCAGGACGGTAACGAGCGGACCGCCTGTGGGATCACCGTCCGTAGCACGACACCCCGGAGAAGGTAATGGTTTTGTGAAACTCTCAACTGGAGGTAGCACAAGCTGCGAGTATAGCGCGTACTAGACAAGACAGTGAAGAAAGATTCGACGGTGAGAAGATTCGACGTTTGAGATGCTGCCTTAATGAGCAAACTAGAGCAGTTAGAGAGCTAATTGGAATTCAATTTTCTTAAATACACCCATTAGTGGATAGTTCGATCAAAGTGCGTCGAGCCCAAGACTGGTGCCGACATAAATTAAAGACCATCGACATCGATAACCTCGCTTAAGTGGTTTCAACCAGCAGCACTTTACACTGGTGAGGATCACGGAAGGGGTGACGTGTCTTCGATTACCGACTAGCTTTAGATCTCTCAAGTGTCGGTGAAGAAGTCGATAAGAACGCTACTCGGAGGCCTTCAATCCTTAAGGGTTGATAGAAAGACGACGCAAGAACGGGGGGAAACCTCTGAAAGCCTGTCTGATCAAACTATCGAAGCAAATCCCCGAGGCGACTCGACGCTTCGGAAGTCATCTTCGCCTCCGTAGAATTTGTAACGGGTGAAGTTGGAAAGCACACTAAGTACATCTTGCAAGCGATTAAGAATAGCTCTATTAAGGAGGAGCTCATCAAGTAATTGATTTCTTGATCGACTAGGTAAATGCCGGCAAAGAATCAACGTGCAGACATTCGAGCAAGCAGCAGTGGTGGCTGCTTCAAACGACACGCTTCAACGAGGCACGTTTCAGAAGATTAATTCCGAAAGTGAACGAATGAATTTCAAGCTACGGCAAGAATTGGATAAATCGATTTAAATGCATCGCAATACTGTGTTCAAAAATCAGCGTCCACATTAAAGATGGTTAGCTTTGCGGCACGAAGATATTAAATGCTAGAACGAGTGACACACATACAAAGAGGGCATTCCACTCGAAGGACAAGAAACCAGAAGACGAGAGGAATAAGAAACGCTGAGCAGCTGCGCCGGACGGAGTGTATGGCGATGAGACCGGAAGGTTAATCTGAAAGGTTGGATAGAACGAAAGGAGGAAGGGCCTAAAGTAGCTATCACGACAGTAGAAAAAGTGAACCTTCGAGGCCACTAGATGTGAGAAATTGGGGTGGGCTCAAGGATGTGTGAAGACGAATGTGCCGAAGATAAGAAGAGCCGGTTGAAAAGGAAGGTGAGCGTTGATTCCTGAACTCTGTTATCCTAGCAAAAGAAGAGACAGAGTGTTTCCACGTGTGTGGTGATAAAATCGTGCGCGTGGTGACGGCTGCTCTTATCAGTAAAAAACATAGCCAGATCCTTCTCGAATCCTCGGAGGAGAACTCGCTATTGAAATCTCACAAAATAGTCTACGAGTTTGAGAAAGTCCTCCAAGAATTTTCAAGAAATTGAGAGATAAATCTTTATTACTGTCGTACGACGAAGATCTTAAAACTGTCACCATTAAGAATATGGTCATGCTAGATAAACCTTTTGTAGAAGTTAACTAGATACGCAACTCGAGACGAGTTGGATCGAAGATCCTATTACATCCTGGCCATCCTGCAACCCTGTTGAAGGAAGTGCTACGGGTGAGCCGGTGGGTTAATGGTGATGGCATGAGGACATTAGTAAGGACGCGCTGCGGGTCCAGCGAGGAGGAGGATGAGGATGGTGGTGGGCGTGATGGTCCTTGGTCAGTTACTGACGAGGATCTTGCTCGCGGCCCACGCAGGAGATCGCCTCGCGGCAGCTCGCAGAATTCTAAAGGACGTGCCACTGATAGATGGGTAAGTTAAGTCTAAGTCTCGTGTAAATACTTCTTAGTAAATCAGAAAATATCCAATATAAACAATCAAAGCATAAACAAGTTATTAGAAGTTTTCGTTAAAATGTTTCATAGATTTTTTAAATCAATTATAAAAATATCTATGCATGACTACTTAGGCGAGATTAAATAAATCGCAATATCCAATATTGACTATTAAAACAGCAAGGAAGCAATTAAAGCATAAAAGCCAGTATAAATTTTCATTAAAATGCTTCATGAATTTTTAATTTTAAAAATATCTATATAATATATATCTATATATATTTAAGCAAGATTATCGATGTCAATAATTTTTCGTCATAATAAAATTGCACTGTCTTCAACAATATTTAATCTAATAGCAAAAAAAGATTGAATTGCAGCCCTACGAATACCTCTCAATAAATCACAATATCCAATATAGATCATTAAAATAACAACGAAAAAATTAAAGCATAAATGCCGGAAGTTTTATTAAAATGGTCGGTAGATTTTTAAAATTAATTTTACTAAAAAGTATACGACTTCTTAAATGAAATTATCGACGTCTTTGATCTATGCGATAAGATTGCTGTCTTCAACGGAATTTAATCTAAGAGCAAAAAAGGTTGAGTAGCAGTAAGCAAGTAAATTTTTTTTATGACTTGTATTATCGTTCTAATTTATCTGTAATCGCGGACTTGTGGATTCACGGTAGACTTGTGAATTGTGTATATGTTACGCCCGCAGCCATTTTCTCTCTGCAATATTTTACAAAGCAGTTACAAGCGGAAAATATATGCGTCAAACTAGCTAGTACAATTTGCGTTCGCAAAGAGAATAGAGAAGAGAATCGCGTGAAAATCTGCGGGCCGCAGCTCAAATGTCAGAAAACTGTTTCAATTAATATTATTAATATCAGCCTTAGAACAATGCATGTTCGTTAATGATATGTACGAATACAAAGATATCAAAAGGTTTTGTTGCACTCGGCAAAAATCCTTGACGCCAGGTTCAAAAACGAAATAACCGGATTCCGTTCTCAAATAAAACAAAAGTTCTCGTGAAAACTTTCGCGATGCAATTCGCGAAAGCCGGTAGCAGAATGCCGCCTCGCTCGTTCTCACATATCTCGCTCCCTTTGTCACGTTGACGAGCAGCGAAAAACGCTGCGTCGAAAATTCAACGAATAACTTGAATCCCATCGTATAATCGTTAGCCGAGACACGAATTTACAGCCGGCGAGAACAATGTCGTAACGACGTACACGGTCGACTTTGTATGGCCAGGCGTGACTCTAATTACACCGAGAATTAAACTTCAAAGGCACGTCCATCGTGTCCGATTTGCTACGACGCGTTGCATCCGTCCGTGCTTTAACTACCGACAATTCCATTAAGCAAGCATTCTATTAGTCAATCTTATTAACCGAGCGCCATGTCACATTCATTGTTAGTCATATACTCAGCAAAACTATAATAGTTCTAGAAAAAACGTATTTATTTACGAGATATCAAAAAAGTTGGAAAATACATCAAAGTAACCGATGTATCTTTGGTTTTGTAGATAATTAATTTATGTAATTATTCTATAAGATGAAAGTATATAATGATTGTCATTGAAACATTAATATATTATCCTGTCTCGATGATTATATATACTTACTGTTTATATAGATATCTAACGTTTTTTAATTATTACAATCTGCTTTTTATATTTACATAAAAATTCGTAAACGTTATCGAACAAAAAGATGTTTAATCATTCTGAGACAAATTATATAAACGATATGTTCAAATATTATACTATCTGTAATTTCTTCGTAATGTTTCAATAATTAATTATCAAATTTAGAATATTTAAAGCAACGTTATATGAAAAAAAGAAAATCACGATGAGCAAAGAATAAAAGATATCAAATACAAATAGACATAAACTTTATTTTAAAACGTAATGGCACAATTTCAACTTCTCACTGAGTCTTCTTCAGCTAGACCAAAATAAATAAACCACGAAGTATAAATAAAATATGATTCCAAATAAATGAAAAATTGAACAATTAAAAATATGGAAATGAAAAAAATAAAAAATAAAAATTACAAGAGTCATGTTCAAGTAAATGCACGCAACAATAGAATAATCTAATAAATTAATCAAATATATCAAATAAATATTTGAAACTATAGAGCGATCTCATTTAATATTCTGTAGACTATGCTAAAAGAAGAAAGAAATACAATAAAGAAAATAAGAAAATACTCGAAATGCAATGGAAATTAAAAATAACCAGACAATGCCACATAAACAGGATTTGCTAGTCTGTAAGGGTCAATACCCGGAATCACTTCCTTATTTGAACAACAAAAAACCAATTGAATCGTACTCAATCCGAGAAAGAGAGTTGCGTATTTTCGCTGAGATAATGAGAAAGTTTTGCGAGCGCGGAAAAGAAAAGACGTTAATGGAGAGGAGCGAATAAAAAAAGGAACTCGAGAGAATGGAGCGGAAGTTGCACCGGTAGGAGGATAGAGTTTACTAGAGAGAGAGAGAGAGAGAGAGAGAGAGAGAGAGAGAAGGTGGACTATGGATGTTGGTCCTCGGATTTCTCGGTTACCCCGGAGGATAGATACGAATTTCCGGCTAGCTACAGCAAACTCGTATGTGTCCCTTCCATTTTCTTCTATGTTCGCACGCGCGTATCTATAAGTATTTATATACACCCTAAGAGTATATGTCAATATATCTAATGTTAACATATTCTGCTATTCTATATAAAAATAATTATGTTATACACTGTTAAATTCGTAATGTCAAATTTGAGTTATTTTATCATTTCTATAAGTCGCTCTACACTGACCCTACTTAGGGTGCATTCCATTTTGCGCTTACAGCAATTATAATTAGTTTATAATTATACATAACCGGAATTCTAGTTGATATAATATTTCTGATAAAATCTACTAGAATTCTTATTTTTACCAGAATAATTATATTAATCAGAATTCTTATCTCAATTAGAATTCTAATAAACTTAACTAGAAAATTCTGATTTGTCCATTTTCTACTAGAATTATTTAATCCAATCATTTTTCTCAGTGTACATACATTCTAAAGTTTAAAGAATAATGATGTAAAGATAACACCACGCAGTGTTTTATAATTCTTATTGTGTTGTAGTTAAATTAACACCAATGTAGTATGGATTTAACATGGGTTTTAAATACACACTCATGATATTAAATTCGCAATGATGGTGTTGATATAAAAACACCTGGATTTTAAATCTATATCATGTTGATGTTAATTTAACACCAACATGGTAAGACATCGATCATAAGTGCTAAATCCATACCAGGGATGTTAAAACCACATCGATTTTTACACACATTTTTTAGAGTATACGTTAATATAGACGTTGTTTACATTGAATTGGTCACAGAAATAGATTCATTCATATTTTGACACACATAGAAATTAAAAATGACAAAATGTTATTTAATTCAAGGGATTAAATTACCATTGGTTCTTTGATATCTAACAGTGTGTAATCTCAAATCTACGTATCATCTATGACATTGTCTCCAATTTAAACATCAGCATTCGCATTTGGAAAAAATGTAGAAACTATATTATAGCAATATGTATCGCATCGAAAACTAGTCTAAATAAACTTTAAGTAGTAATCACTCTTTATTGCTGTAAAACGTTGCGAAAACCCAAACTCTGATTTTGCTCATTGGCCGCCGATTCCACCAGCAAACTCTCAAAGAAACTCTCGAAAGTAGCTCTGATAAAAGACATCGTGGAAGAGGCGCACCAGCGATTTCCCGATGTCGACGAGCCGAAGGCAGCTCGTTACCGATAACGAGTGAAAGCCTCGTCGAGCGCATTGTGCAGGGCCGAATAATAGTCCGTCTCTCTCTTGCACCAGTTTCCGGAAAAAGAAGTGCCTCGTGTGGCCTGCGGGCCACGTGTCGTTTGGTTAAAACCCGGGGAAATCGTATCACCGAAATTTCCAAGCGAGAGATGCCGAGCTTGCATCTCATGCAAATAAACGGCCGCCGATGCGATAGGCAAATTTCGATCGATTGTACTTAAACTGCGCGATTATCTTCAATCCGATTAAACGGGTTAACGTTTAAAAATTCTCTGCAAATGCGAACGCGGAATGCGGGATGCGGGATACGGGATGCAACAACTGTAACGTGCCGCACGAGGACTGCAAGGCAAGTCGGTTCTGCCTCTCCATCCTCGTTCTACATTACAAATTCGCGTCGGTTTCCGTGGAGAGCTTAAACTCTCAAGTGCTTGATGCATATTTTATGCACTCTCGACATGTGAGTCATAATATTCGAATAATTCCTATAAGAGATCGTCGAAGAGGAAATGATTCTCTCTTTCGTTCGTCTTGAAATCTTATTAAGGATGTATGTGTCACGTTTCAAAGCATTACCATGAATATAAAAATTTCACAGATTGTTCTATTATTACATTTGAATATGCAAAATTTGAACACAGTTCTCATACTGATTTTTTAAATTAATTAATTAATTTAATTTTCTTGCTTTCCTTAATTCTTATGTAAAATCGCATTTTGTAGTATTTTACTTGCAAATTTAATAAGATAGTAAAATTAAAAATTAAAGCAAATTTTTATATCTATACTAATAAAATTCTAATAAACATTCAAGCAAAAGTTTATATTTGGAACCACTTTATTTAAAAATTATTTATCTAAAACTGCAAGAAAATATAGTCATTTCGCTGCATAAAACTATTAACAGCAAGATTATTTCTTTTATTTTTTTGTAGTTGGTTTCAGAGCGTATTCATGATAAAATATTTTTGGCCGATATTAATTGATATTGACTTTTTAGCTGATTTTTTTGGCTTATGCTTTTAGCTGATATTGTACAACCAAAACATCCTTAATATTTGAAATTTTTGTCCGACGTGATTAAGGTTTATTCATAATCCGAAACGTAATAACAGAAAATATAA